CACCACTGAAATCTAAGACGTTACATCACACAATAACTTTGTTGTAGTTTAAGGTATTTTATCAGTAAACTTTCTTCATTACACTTGTTATGTATGTCAGAGTGGATTAATTGTACCATATAATCATGTTAGTCACTCATCTTGACATTTCCGTTGTAATTGTGTATATGAGGGCGAACGTAAAAGAGTCTTCATGCAAAGTAAGAAAAGTTATATATAAACAAACCCAAGATAAGGCTGACCATTCTCGAATTTTCGGAAAATGTCATATACACGTTATGCATACTAACAGCTTGAAATTTTCTAAGGAAAACAATTCACTTGTACATTCAGCATATGTGGTGCATGAATGATTCATCAGCTCGAATGACATTCGTTGTATTTATGTTAGTCTTTCATAATATGTCTGTTATTTCTTGAAAATAGCAATATTCAAACAATTATTTGTCTGAATATAACATTAGGTTTATAAAATAAAGATAAAATGTTAACGAACTTGTAGACAAATCGTTGCAGTTCTTTACACAGGTTCATGAGCTCAAGCTGCTACACTTCGAAAGTTTACAAGAAGAGAACACAAACGTAATGAAACTGCAATAGAAAATTACGAAAATCAATGATGTTTACAATTTTGAAGGTGATAATTACTGAATACTTCTGGGTTACTGTGATCATTTTAGAGCCGTCGCATATAGTCTTGAACCTTTGGTTTTTGTTATCCTGTCCACCTCAGTCGGGCTTGAACTAAGAAACAATGAATCAAGGTTATTTTTTGTCCTAATCGCTGAGGAAGCTGGCGGTTAATCATAATTTGTATGCAACTTACCTTAATCCATCAAACTTCACAATCTCACAGGTTGACTTACCTTCCCATGACTGATGTCATTGTTATCAAAGACGTTACTCCACCTAATGTTACCTGTCGATCAAATAAACTTATGGTGTAAAGCTTGCGACCTTTTCATATCTACTTCCAGCAGTATTTTGTGCAGGACACATACCTTTCGACACGTAACAAAAATTCGCTTACCAGAAGATATTTCATTCCATTAACACTTGTTCACAATCATAAATCAGCTGTTCCGAATTCTGTTTTTTTGTTTATCTGCAACATATATTAATTTTCGCTCCTCATTTGACACGCACATTTCTCAGGTTTATTGTCGTTGTTAAACTTAATGGTTTGCAGATTTACAGTTAAGATACTTGTAGCAAATCAGAAATCAAGTTAAGTTTGTGCTAAGTGGAGTGATATCAAGAGTAAAATAAGGTGAGCAAGGAACTCACTGCATCAGAAAACAAATTTCCTCAAAGTAGAATGGTATTATTGAGAAAAAACGTCGCCATGACGGCCAAGTATATCTTGGGCAGTGGCTTGGATCCAGTTGACTGGATCTTTGTAACTTTCGGCATACGAAAAGTATTCGACGCACTCAGGAATTCCTCTGCTACATTCCAACCTGATTCGAAGGTATATGTCACCTATTGCTATTTTTTATTTGATTTTTTTATTCCTTTACGTTCCCATTGGAACAAAAGGCTTCAAACTAGAGGCTTGAAGTCTCAGTAGCAGTGGTGTTTATTTTTGTGGGATGGGGTTGTTAGCGTCATATCCGGCCCAAACTTCCCTCTTTATTCAGTCTTATTACTGGCTTAGCGAGGTAAAAGGGTGTGTCTGTCTGAGATCGAACCCCGGACCATATGCATGGTCGGCGAGCGTCTTAACCGCTGTCACCAACTACAAACATACAAAGTGTTTCGCCTTCCCCCGTTATACCAATAATAATATTAAATTCATGGAAAATTCCCACTGCAACGTAGAAAATCAAAAAAAAGTGATTCAGCGAAGAAACTCTTTTCAACGAATTTATTATCAAGCTGCACGATCGTATACATATACATCGTATATATATATATATGGTTTTTTTAAGAAATTATAACCGGTGAGAGAATTGAGTCATTCATAGGTGTGAATGCATAGAATAATAATAGTATGAAATGCAATTAAAGTGTTTGATTACAATCATAGTTAAATTTCAAGCGGAACAAGAATTAATATCATATATAGAATAATTCATAGGATGTATAGATATCGGAAGGAGTGTGCAATTATAGGATTAGTAGGCAAATCGAATAAAATAGAAACGTCACTTAACATTGTGTGAAATTTGATAACAGAATTTAACGGTGTAAAGTAGGATTGATTTAGAATGACAAGTGAAATAATACCGGGGACAGTTCAAAGTGAGCACAGTAACAATTGACGTAATAAAGGAAGAGTATACAAATTGAATAGGTGAAACGGAAAAATTGGTAGAGCCAAAATATGATTAGGGATTACCATACTTTAGCATAGACGGATTGAGACCATGAAAAATGAAGGGGTTGAACGAACTGGCGTACCACTCCGCCCTATCTTGGATATGTTCTGGTCCTCTTACCATCCAATAGATGGGTGGTTAGGTGAAATCGCCGAACCCCGTCAGGGGGCAGATATCTCTTCATTCTCTTCGTGACACCTTCCAATTTGTTGAATATATACAGGATACAAATGCTTCTTTGGATGTCGAATCCCTATTTACGAACGTTACATTGACAGAAACCATGTTTTATATGCAAATATATTGAAGACAACAAGTTGAATATAGGGACACCCGGTATATATTTGAAGGAACTTCTCAGATGTACGGTTTACTTTCTATGAAAAAATATACAGAGAGACGGATGGTGTTGCAATGGGTTCTCCTTGCAGACTATTTTATGGCCAGTCTAGGAAATGGCCAGTTGAAGTGAACAATCCAATGTTTTCAAATGTATAAAAGGTATTATTTCACTTGTCATTCTAAATCAATCCTATTTTGCACCATTAAATTCTGTTATCAAATTTCACACAATGTTAAGTGACGTTTCTATTTTATTCGATTTGCCTACTAATCCTATAATTGCACACTCCTTCCGATATCTATACATCCTATGAATTATTCTATATATGATATTAATTCTTGTTCCGCTTGAAATTTAACTATGATTGTAATCAAACACTTTAATTGCATTTCATACTATTATTATTCTATGCATTCACACCTATGAATGACTCAATTCTCTCACCGGTTATAATTTCTTAAAAAAACCATATATATATATATATATATATATATATATATATATACATATATATATATATATATATATATGATGTATATGTATACGATCGTACAGCTTGATAATAAATTCGTTGAAAAGTTTCTCCGCTGAATTAATTTATGATCTTCACTATTATTAAAGCCTCATTAGCTACTGCATATACAGTTTCCTGAAGCCTTTGAGCAAGTATTCTTAAATAGCACACAGAAAGCCGTGACTATCGTAGTGGTCTTTGTTGTTCCTCGTTCAACACTTGGTTTCATAGCAGTGTCAACAATGGGACAAACAATTGAGAACTTGCAATTGACGAACAAAATTGAACTCAGAACGGTGACAATCTGCTTTGGCTTTTTTTATACAATGAAGCAAATAACACAAAAGTCATATGTGATTTTGTCCGCCTTTGTTTTTAAACACCAGCTTCGTGGCTGTAAGTATTTACTACTCTCCAGGTGGACTGATATATTGGATTCGCAAAAGTGTAACAATATGTTGTTATTTACAATTCTGTGTACTAAGTAATGATAAGACTGAACTAAATAATATCTTAAACTTTCAAGATGCAAAATGAAACAAATGAAATCAACTCATTGTACATATTCGAAATTATACTTGTATTTCAGGTGATGTTGAAAAATCAATCACCCAGCTGAGGTAACATACTTGTAGACAAATGTGAATGACTGATTTACAATGTACTACACTGCATATATTGTGGTACAGAAGCAAGTCTGTCTACCATTTTCGTTCAACTTACATGTCGAATTGAGAAATGATGACTTTATTATTATGTAATTTAATGGAAAGAACTTTTGTTTTTGTATCTGTTAATTACTTAGGAATTCAATCTTCGTCGAACAGCTAAGTAATTTTGGAAGCACATTTGTAGATTTAAGTGCACTTTTGCGCACACAACTCTTACGGTGTTTTGTACTATTGCCCCATTTAAAGTTAAATAAAAGCAAAAAAAATTATTTTAAATCTCATTGTGTAACATTCTGTTCAATCACCTAACTATTCCAAAGTACTACCCAGTTTGTATAAGTTTGAAATGAAATAACCCGCAGAATGTATACTAATGCATACCCTAATATGGAGTACAAGTAAAAACAAAGCGTTTCTGATGCAGTAGGCCACATATACTAGCACAAATGACGGAAAAGCGACTTTATGTGTATATCTTTGAAACCTACTGCATAGATAAGCCTATGCAGCAACATTTTCTGTTACAGGCTACCAGGAAGACTGAAGCCGTTCAAACAAATACTATATAACTGCCTTGTCCCAGTTTAGGACTCTTCGGCAGTACACACCCAGGACTTTCCGGTTACAAGGCGTGCTCGTAGATCACTAAGCCACTGAGACCTGACCCAATGGTCCATGAATTCCAACTTCTGCCAATTCACGATATATCGCGACCACTAACGAATGTCAACGGCGATTACCAGTCCCCACATTCGACCTGCTCTACCCCAACGATCGGGACCCAGTGGCTTAATGGTCTACGACCTCGCCTTGCAACCGGAAGGTCCTAGGTTCAAACTTCATGGGTACGTACTGATGAAGAGTCCCAACCTAAAACGAAACAATTTTCCAGTTCTCCCAGTTGGTTTTCCAATGGTTCTCTAACCGATGTCAGTTCATGATGAAATCCTGTAACCAATCAAATTAAATCCCTACAAACCAACACTTGAAAATACTATATAAAATGTTTTCAATAATCTGACGTCGATTATCTAAAGAACATATAACTTATGTCATTACGTTAGCGTAGCGACAGACTATGCCGCTACAATAAGCTATAAATCTACTCCGCATGAACGCTACGAACAATTTGAAAATTCACCCTCCCGTTATTGTGAATAAATAATCCTCTCGATTGCCAAAATGAAAGATAACCCATCACTCTAAATATCCATTTCACTAAGCATTATTGTAATACCGAACAATAACACATAAAAGAAGTATGGAGCATTTTCTCCCACTAATTTAATCAATGAATACATTTTATTCTTTTTCGTTAAAAAAAAAAATCAAGATCAGTTTGTTTAAAATTATGAGCTAATTTATTATCTGGAATAGCGTTCATTATTTGTGTAATTATATGTATGCAAATGAACGTGTGTCTGCCTTGTCATTTGGGAGGAAATTTAATTCGACTTCTTCTATTTCCAGTAAACCACCCACACACATCATATCTCTCTATGATTAGTAGATAAATAATTTTCAACATACAAAGAAACCAACAAACAAACAAAATAACCATTGATAAAGGCATTGCCTTAAGGGGAAAATAAAAGCATAATAAAATGGTATTCAGAGACAGGGTAGTTAAACAAATTAACTAAGAATATTCCAAAAAACAAAATTAACAACCAAACAGACAAATATCATTTCTCAAGTATCAGTAGCATCAATAATATCCTCCTCTTTGTGTTACTAGAGCTGATAACTGTTACTGTCGCAAGCATGTAAAACAGTGAGTAGATTTGATAAAAGAGGATTGAAAAAGATGTATTATTCACCTGTAAAACACAAACATACACATTTATCTAACCATATTTCCACCCCCCCCCATTTTATCCATTGATATGATAAACAAGAAAAAAGAAACAAATAATGTCTTGATATTATTTTCAGAACCAGTGAGTGGTACAAGTAAAACGAGATTGAAAATAATCATTCAGCTTCATTTTCCATCAATGCACTACATAGTTCATTACCATGTATCATAATCTTCAGCATATTTTGTTTCTTGAAGGTGATTGGGGAAAAAAGTATAAATAATAATCATAATAGTAATAATAAGCAGCTGCTGATCTATAAGGAGCGATGGCAAGAGAGATGTAGGGTGTGTGTGTGTATGTGTTGAGTTATTGCTGATTTTGTACGCCAAATAAACTATGTTGACAGCTGATCACTGTTGCATAAAAATTAAAGTATGAAATATACATACAAACAAAAAAGGATTTAAGCATACACAGCGAATGAGCTGATTAGTAGCTCTATTTCAGCTAAATAAAGAGAAATGCAATAGTTTCTGTATAACTATTTATAATGTATATGCATATTTGTGTATAAGTCAGATTTCCATATCCGAGGCAAGTTTATTAGCAATACGCTTGAAATCAGATGTTGATCCACTGATTCTTTTGAAACGCACTCCATTCGCCCCAGCTCGATTAAGCTTGCAAATTTCCATTTCCCAATGTACAACGCTGTTTTCAACACGATCAGTTAAACGTGATGATCTGTTAGTACTTTTTGAACTTTGATTATGAGTTGTTAAATTGGGTATCTGACATGCTCGTGAAGGGTCTCCGTAAACACACTGTAATTTCAAATCACCGACTTGTTCAAAGTCAATGTTATTGTTGATTAGAATCTGTTTCATGTCCAACATCATTTCCTCTATCTGACGTCGACTAGCAGTTTCCTTACGAAACATAAACCTTAAACTACGCGTTCGTCCAAGAGTGATGTCAGTTACAGCGTTGTTCGAAACTGAGTTGTCATTTCCGGATGGAGGGGATTTATTCTGACTTGAACTAGGCATTCCAGTCGCATTTCGCATAGGAACAGGAGGAGGTGTAGGCCTAGAATTACTGCCATCATCATGTCGTGAAGATGAACGGTGGGTGGACTGTGAACGTGAATCCCGAGAAATCGGACTACGTCTCCGACACATTGACCCGGTATTATCAGCGTTGACTTCGTTTTTGCTCCTCCTCCTACGACTGAGAGTTTCTGTATCAATATTCTTTCTGTATGAGCGTTCATCAACAGTAACTGTACTGAAATCAGCTAGTCTTCGAGATCCTTGTGGAGTAGCGCGATGTGGAGTTACTCCACTGCGACTACGTGGAAGTCTTATAGAACTGTTCTTGTGACACGTCTCCGGTGCAGGGCTACCACATGTAACTGCCAGTTTGTCAAGCTCCATTGTAGGTGCCACTCTCATATCTGGATCCTTAGGATCATTCATATTGGGAATCTTGTTATCAGGAGAATTAAACAATAAACCGGGTTGAAGAACGGCAGATCTTCGAAACAGTTTGCTACAAACATAAAAAAACAGCATTTATCAGATATTTCTTGAAGTAAATATAGTTGAATCGACATTAGGCTAAGCTTGAAACTGTTACCAGCTCAGCATTGTAAAGAATAAATAACACGATAATATTTTACGTAGATTTTTCACCAATCAGATTTAGGAAAGAGATTTATTTTGCAAATTACCAGCGGCATTATCATTCAAGAAGAAGAATGAATCAAAGTTCTGGTTCAGTCAATCATTTTGCCTTTTACTTAACCAGTTTTCCAGACTTTAATTTTTGTATTATGGTCTACTATGGGTTGGGTAATTAAACAACGAAAGCATTTCATTTGCATATGTTCGATAGATTTTTCATTTGGACAAACGTTTCACATAAAATTATCAGAGTCTATACTCGTTGATTCGTTGACTATGACATCCGATATATGGTATGTCCTTCTTTTCATGTATATAGTGACAAAAGAATGATTTAGTCTTCAACAACTAAGTATACTAGAAAACACTATCATGAATAACATAATAAAATAAAGAGAAGTGTAATTGAACTGTCCTATATGTATGGTATGCATAAATTAAGCAGTGTGCACTGGTGTGCTTTCAATAATTTACATTTCTAAAACATTCACAATTACCAGACGAAAACATGAATTTTTCCCAGTTGTATAATAAGTTGATCCAACTCAGGTGAGAAGCGGTGTGCTACTATTCTTTACACATAAAATATATTTCAGAAATACAATAGAACGTTTGTTTAGAAAAAAAAAATACTATTTAGTATGCACGAAAGATATAAACATATGAGAAAAGTCTGACAACTATTTATATACTGGTTTATGTAATAGCCTGTCTAATATATAATGTCAACAGATTGTACTCAAATCCAACTGCAGGTATATTTGTTTGCTGACAAACGATTTCAGCTCTTTCTACCATCAGAGTTAAGACAGCAAGGTATTACAACTGGCCATTGTGCTAGAGGAGTGGAGTACATTCACAATTGCTGATCCCAATATAGTGACCAACATAAATATGAAAACTTAACCGTCTTAAATTTATAATTTTTTCTCTAGTATAGAATTAGGACAAAAATCGCTATCAAATTAATTTATCTCCTATAAACAAATTAAAGTTATGGGATTAAAATGGGATAGTGGAATTTTCGTAAGGGAGGAAATTCTCAATATAGAGTAATACAATGTACTACTTACCTGCTAGATATTCGAGTTGTTAAGGTACGAAAAAAATTGTTGATACCCCCATTATTATTATTATTATTAGAATGATTATGAACTGCATCATTTTCAAGTCGATGACCTGAAGGACGAACAGAAAAATTTCGAGTAAATGGCTGAACAGTAGATCCGATAGTATGACTTTTATTATCAATGTCAGAATGTCTTTCATTTTCTGGTGTTGGGGATTCCTCATCATAATCAGTCCGATCACCATGATGACTTAATGTAGATACAGATGACGTTCCAGAGGATATTGATAGATCAGGACTGTTAGGTCTTGGTGTAGAAAAATTTGAATTACCAGCTGGTGATGAACGAAGGTGAGATTCAGTAGTTGGATGGGCGATACTTTGTGTTCCAGGGTGACGAACGAGTCGCGGACCTCCTGATGTCCCTTCTAAACGTTCTCTAGCTCTACCAGTTGGTACGTGCTGGATTGTTGAACGCTCTGGTAGATTACGATTGAACGGAAGGCTTGAAGTATTTTCTGTTAAGTCAGCTGCATAAGGGGAACTTGAAGGTGATTGATCCGTACCAGTCTCACTAATACCATTAGACCAAAGAGAAGTTACTGATGGACGAACTAGTTGATTATTTGTCCGACCAAGTTGATGGGAAAGAATTTCATTGGTACAGGTATTAGATGTTGTATTAGAGGGTAATCTAAAAAAAACAAAAAGAATGTACGTAAACCTGCATGATACATTTATTGTTTCTTTTAAGAAGTCGAACAGTCAATCCAGAACAATAAAAAACCAATTAAACACTGATTTGCATTATTTTGAAGGCATCGAACGCTGATATTCAATTCAGTTCAGCAAGTATGACATATCTACATATATACGACTTATTTAGTTAAACAGAATACTATATAGTGTGTTTCATTTAAAATTCCTAAAAGTATTTAAAAAGTGAACACTAGATTTTAATCTTTCGGTAAAGTCATACATTGTTCACTGGGAAACCCACCAGTGGTCACCTTGACTCTTCATAAGGCTGTAAGTACAACACAGCTTAAAACTCTCTAATTGAGATGAAACAGCTAGTTTAGTGCTATTTGATTTGGAATGGTTATTTAATCAGTGTTGATGGAAAGTGTTTGAAAATTTGAAAAATGCTAGTCAGCACAGTTCACATACTACTGAGGAAAAATGCCACAGAAAATAAGTATGCAAAAAATTTGAAAGAGGTCACTTCCTTCCCTTATCTAGATCCTACAATTTCAATTACAGACAGTCGGTACGGACAGAGATGTCAAAACCAGAATCGCAAAGGCAAGACAAGATATTCATCACTCTGAAATCATTTCGGAAATCTCCAGTAATCAGAATTATTAACAAAATTTGGATTTCCAACATAATGTCAATTTACTTCTTCTGCATGAAACAGAAACCTGGCCCGTCAAGAAAAGCATTTTTAACCGACCATAGATTTCTATCAACAGCTGCCTTCTTTCCATGCTGAAGATCAGATGGTTAGAAAGAATTAGCAACTAAAAACTCTTCAGTGCAACGAACCAATCAAGGACTTATTGCCCACCGAATATGCCGACGGAAATGGATCGGACACACGCTCGCGAGACCAACAGGTGACATTGTGTGCCAGGCCCACGAGTGGAATCTGAATGGGAAACGACGAGTTGGGTATCCAAAGGTGACATGGAAGGAGATGAAACATTATGGACTGTGGAGAACAGGGATAAAGTGGAGACGAGTTGTTAAAACCATATGTTCCACTCAGAAGCCATGGGAATACTATTATATATATATATATATATATATATATATATATATATATATAGAGAGAGAGAGAGAGAGAGAGAGAGAGAGAAAGGAAATGTTGAATACTTACCGTAATGAATGATAAGCGTAAGATGTACGCATCGCTGTGTTAATAGGAGCAGATGAAATAGGCGTTAGTGAATTTTGTGGAACAGGAGCTGTAGGACGTCTTATTGTAGCACCAAAAGAGTTCATAGAAGAAGTATTATTGTTAGTTGTATTAGTATTAGTAATTGTTGCTAACATCTGATTTGTTTGATTTGTATTATAGGTGGGTGAACCATTATTATTATTATTATATAGAATTGTTCGATTAGCTGATGTAGAATTCAGTTGTGTAGGTAAACGAGTACCACCATGAGGTGGGACAGCTGGTGGTGTGTTCAAAGAATCAGTTAGTGATATGTCATTCACCATTCGGAAAGGATTCGACTCACTGGAAAAAACAAAAACAAAAGTATAGATATATAACTAGTGAGACGAAGAAATGACCATAAGACAAGTGATCAAAGTCAAAGACAACACCTTCTGTTAGAAGTTTCACAAAATAGAGGTTGTTCAGCTTTGATCTAACTGAATAATCTCTAATGTTAGCTAACAATAAAAAGATCTAATAAGATTCAAATGTACTGCACTTAGCAGTAATATGTTCTCTTCGATCAAAAAGTATGAAAGCTGATAGTTGATGGCTAGTTTACAGGTAATTAACGAGTACTGCATTAGAAGTATCCTGTTAATGTGATGAAATCATTGTACAGATGGTATTAATTTTTTGAACGGAAAAAAAGTACACCAGTGGTATGAAATTTAAAAAGTACAACAGAAATTCCCAAGTTTACATATTTCTTAATCAGGGGAGTTAAACAAAACTATGGAAGTAATGATATCAATAGTCATCATAAGATGTGAAGTAAAGAGAATTGATGCATGGTATTACATTTTAGATGGATATAAGGTATCACAAGTCACTGCTTACTCCGATGTTTTCATAACAATAATTATAATCATTATTATCGCTATCGAATTCGAACTAAGTGAATTTTCTGACTGTTAGTTATTATAGTATTGAAAGTAGCAAGCGATATATATATATATGCCTCGAAACCAACTGTTGTGGTGCACACAGATATGCACCATTTATTTAATATTTTATTTTTTATTATATTTATGTCATACTTGATAGCCATGTACAGTGATATTTCATCACATTGCATTCTCTTTGGTGTGTGATAGTTATGGCCAACACTTAATTGTTTCGAGTGTTATATGTTAACTCTGACCGAAATAATCTATCAAAGGACCGCGAAGAAACCCTACAAAACGGCAATTAAGAATAAACGTTGTGACCAATAAACACCATGTTTGTAAAAAAGAAAGAAACAGCGAAAATCACACCATACTTTAATATATCAGCGGCATTAGGAGGGTATCTAAATATTGTTCTTGGTTTAGGATACACACTTGGCTGACTTTGTTCTTTCATTTTGTTCTTTGATTCTAATTCTGATGAAGATGACGATGTATTATTTTTATTCAACTCATTGTACAGATTAACACGATTGGCTATTGATGGATTAATGGCATTTTTATAAGAAACAGTTGAACCAGGCGTAGTTTCCTTATCATTATTATTAGTATTATTGACTGTTGTCGACGGATATTCGTTAAGAGATGTTGAATTCGAGTTGATCGTTAGCGTGGTGTTTGTGACTAAAATAAAAGTAATAATTGAGATATGAGAAAACATATAATTGAAATATAAATCCAATATTAAGTCTACTGACCATTCAGTCGGTAGTAGGACTAGGTAGTTTTGATTTTAAAAAATATATAAAAAATAGCACCAAAGTATATGAAACAAAAATGTTAGATAGATATAATATTACTTACAGCAATTAGACCTTGTCGTACTGATTGATTTGCGTCGAACAGGAGTAGCCCTAAAAGCAAGACAAGGTAAATATGTACATTACCAAAAGACTATAAATATTGCTAATGTAAATCCAATCAAACCAACACAAACCTAATATCTAAGTATCGAGTGTTTCATTTTGTGTAAATTGTACAGATAAACAGATATTACAGTCAATTGTTTAATGACAGAATCCTCGTTAGCAAGGTGGAAGGTTTGAGTTTGACTACCGGTCGATACACTTAAAATTCACTTAGTTTACCAATCGGTAGTAGGGAATGATGTAAGAAGGGAGGTTAGGAGTGAGACTAGTAATAAATTCCTGAAAAACAACACCACTGCTATTGAAACTTTAAAGATAGAAGCCACACGTTCTACTCGGGAAACAAGGAACAAAAAATGAAGTTTACACAACTGTATTTACTTGCACATTGTTTAAGCTAATCACATTTCGTAGGAACGAATGTAAGCAGAAGATGATCGGGAGTTTCTGCTGCAACAGTTACTGCTGTACTGTGGATTGCATGAAATGATATTCTAGTTGAAGTATAACATGGATTTAGTACTACTAAGGGCTCGTGACCAGAGCCTGTCTACAAGATTTAAACTTAACAATCCTATTTAATAAGATAAGGAACACGTTCATTGGAGATAAAGTTCCTCTAATGAAATATATAAAGCAGATTTTCAGTCGAAAGTATCTAATTTTCTTCACCTATAATCACTTCGACTCATTTAGATTCAGCCAGTGATATCTCACTAAATATATTTTGAAAGAATCGTATAACCCTGGTACACTATTTAATACACATTGATAGCATTGAATTATCTGTATACAAATAAACTCGTGTTAGTTTTATTGTCCTCAAAGCTTTAATTATCACTCATACAACTTCCAATTTCAATGAGTCACAGAGAACAGCTATGGTTTTCACGTATTTTTCTAAGATTTTTCACAGGGACGATCATTGCTGGGGTATTTGAGAAACATCCCTACTAACTGATGTGTTTGTTTTTGATTATTTTGCTGACAAACTGGGTTTCTGTTCACTCGAGAGGTAAAGAAAGAGAGTCCCAAGCTCGGCACATTGTGATATAATGTTATAACTATCTATCATATTGCATTTCAATATACTTGTGTTCTCAGGTTTTGCGGATATGGTTCATTGGGTTTGATTCGCAGCTAACGGGTTACAGGGTCACCTACTTCAGTCTAGGCAGTTGGGTAGTATCATCAGCCCTTGCACTATATGTTTGGCTCTGAGCCTGGTGTACACGACAGATCCGTCCCAGGTAATGGAGTTCAAAGAACATAACTATGTATCCCTTAATCTAGTTTTAGTACAACTTCATTTGCTTACCGATTAAACTGAGATATTTCCCGACGGTGATTGTGATTGATAGATGAAGAGATATCTTCAGATATATTATCCTCTAAAAGAAGACAAGTAAAGAATGATAATGATACGGTTAATGGGAGGATACGATGGATGCTTCATAGGAAAAATAACAGTATCCAAACGAAAAACGCAATGTAATACAACAGATCACTTACTATTATACCGATCAGTAAACAAAGATTATTGTGAAGTGTTTTGAGAAAGAAAGTAGGCGTAACTGGAATAAAAGTAATCAATATCAATCTTTTCTGACACAAAAGATTTCATCTTATATGTAATATCATTAAAGGTAAGAAGCACGCTCTTACCAATTAATTACGAAAATTATATATTTATATATGCAATTTCAGTCTCAACATGTTTCGAAAGTTTGATTGAATTACATGGGTTCTTTTGTTCGTGAAATAAATGATCACAGTGACTATATAGGTATGTGGTCCATTTTAAATAGTAGTATCAGGATTACGGAGTACATCACATTGAAGAATACTTCCAATAGAAATGATTACTTCTCTTTGAATCTACATTAACGTTTTGATAAATTAGACTGTTCAGTGTCTACCTGACAACAGTACTGAAGCAGCGACCTTAGTTGTGAGATATTGTACATTCGTAATGTTTGACTGTCAGCCTGGGATTTTTCAGACCGATGTGGACCATTTTTACATGGTAACATGAACAGATATTATAGAGTTAAAAAAATATGTATCTAATTTGTGACTACGTTGATTTTGAACATCAAACACCAGTTGAAACCTTAAAACCGTTTCTGAGCTATGCGTTATACAATTAGGTCCATTATAATTGCCTTTTTCTCTCCGACGAATGATCTCTTACATGAAAGTACCTATGTTCCCACTTATTTAATTTAGCTATTTCAAAACTTAGTGGAGTAAAGAAATCCAACAAAAATAATTTTTGTTGCAACGAAAAAAGAATCAAAACTTTTGAGTAAAAATGAATTTTAATCTTGCAAGATGGTAGTGAGAATTAACATTATTTTGTGAAATATATGACCTGTTAAATTTTCATTCACTGACTAAATGATAATATGCTCGTCAGGACACTTGAAAGCCCTAGGTTTAATCTTTATATATTGCGGTCATAGATAAGTATCACCAAACGAGTCCACTATTAAAACAGTTATCCAATTTATATTATATATCACAATAAAATGAAAAAGAGAGAAAGTGAATGCGTAATTGTGACTTCATTTATCTGAGGATAAAATACAGACAGCATAAGATTGATATTTATTTTAAATAATGATCAAATTGATGCTGGTTAAAATAAACCAAAGGGCTTCGAATAAAATTCAATTCACGACTTATATACTACCTTAGAAAAAGTACATGATGCCATAGTAATTCGTTGACTTAGCCAGGTTTTCCAATAGTTCTCTCTCTATCTGATGTCAGCTTGTGATCAAACCTGTATCCAATCAAATCCCTGCAAACCAAGACTTGATGATTATAGAAAAAAATCTACATTTAGACATTCAGAAAACTTGATGCTCACTAGTGACTGGCTCTACACAGGAAGTTACCCGGAGTTCTAGTGAGAAGTCGTAACCAGCGGGATCCACCAAGTCAGGTAAGAGGTCAGTTTACTCGCCTGTGAAATTGACTGATGGCTGCGCTATATATATATATAGCGAATTGACAGAAGTTGGAATTCATGGACCATTGCATCAGTTCCCAGTGGCTGAATGGTCTACGAGCTCGCCTGTTAGCCAGAAGGTTCTGGATTCAAACTTCGTTGGGGTGCGTACTGCTGGAGAGTCTCAAATTAGGACGGGACAACTTCCCAGTACTCCAAGGTTTTACAATAGTTCTCTAACGAATATCAACTCGTGATCAGTCATGCAACTAATCAAATCCCTGTAAATCAACACTTGATAATCTCTCTGGATGGTTAATTAAGTTATAATTAAATATGTCATACATTAAACAGCTGATCGTTATTGGTTTGGTGAATGCGGATTTGTAAATCAGCCTGATAATCTTATTCTCTTTATTCTTCACAGTCCTGCTGTTATTCTTTTAAATATCTTTTGAGAAGATTTCAAAAATCAAACACAGTGAGCTAACTGCTACCTTTCTAACAAACAGTATATTGTAGAGTTATAGTGACTTTCATCAACATGATTGGTTGTGTAAGTGTGGTGAGAGCTGTCTACTAGCCAAATTGATAGACAGTAATTTACGTCAATATTTACGTTCCCAAGATTTGTCGTGAGAAAATGTGAACAAAGATTGATTCAAAACCTACCACAGCAGACTTTGCGTAGGCGGATGCAGTTAACAGATAGAGGATTTGACATTCAAGAAACAGTCACAAATAGATGAAAGATTAACTTTACGTGAGAAACAACCAATCGGAAGACTGTGTTTGTTTACTTAAATATCCATAGTATTGTACATGAAAATATATATAAATATGCGTTGATTTCCTTAATAAATGATCTGTTGCCTGACTCTTGCCTTCTGTCGTTACATAAGTAGTGGATTTGATTCATTGGTTGGCCAATTGATCGACTGATTAATTTAGGCTATATTTATTGTTATTTATTTATTTTTGAATGAAGAGTTTCATCTCAACTTCTTGTGGAGTGACCACAAGCACACAGAGGATTAACTAATAATTAAACTTAGTCTAAAGAACATTCATGAAAAAAGTGATTATAAAGTGCAAAATACATCATATTCGAATGTAGTAAGAAAGAAAGAGGAGAACAGAGATGTATGTAAAATATGTGGAGCTGCAGTTTGTTGGTGGAAAAACTCTTTGTTCAGCCAGTCGGTGAACTCCTCATCACCCACGAAACTTTGAACAGCTACATGGTATCAAAAACCCTCTAAAAAGAACTGCAATTCATTGCATACAGCATATATGATTAAACCAAATCTACAAACAGCTAAACATTAATGAGTTATCATCTAGACATATTTTTATAACACCCTAACTTACCAGGCAACTGTTTTTCTTTTGGAGAAAATGAGTAGTTTTTATTATTGAAGTTTGTATTAGGAGCGGCAGCTAGTGTAACGCTTGTAGGCATTGTCATTCCACCAACTGTTCCTGATACAACTGTTGTAGGAGTTTTATTCTTATTTGTACGACTGAGATGTCTACCTTTCTGAGACTTACGAGAAGAACGAGATATCTTTACAGAGCCTGGTGATTCAGAGTCAGAATCTTTGTCGTATAAATCTTTCTCATCGGAGATCGCATCTTCGGAACTAGTAGAAGAAATTGATAATTCTTTTATTAAACCATTGCAACTGTTTATTTTATTTTCAACTGATGGAGATTTTTGATTACGATTTCTTCGAGACTTTGCAGGATTTGAAGCATCTTCTTCATCTAGTGCTAAAGGAGCAACGGCTTGTGGTTGAATTGAAAAAGAACGAGTAGCAGCTCGCGGACGAGAATTATGACGAGAGAAGGAGGTCACAAGCGGTGGTACTGAATTAGAATTTGATGGAAGTGAACAAGACGGTCCGTTAGACATATTCGCAAGTGTTAAATGAGCAGTAACAGAAGCCGGGTGAAGAGTAATAACTGAAGGCTGACTCGCAGGAATTTGATGGGAAACATCAGATGGAGGTGCTTGGGATGGTGGGGGAGGTGACACATTTCGTGATACTGAAGGGGAATGAGTACTTAGTGCAGGAAGTACAGATGACTTTAACAATACCCCTAAACAAAGAGAAATATAACGCACATTAGAAATACAACCATCAAAGTGAGAAAATAAATTTAATTATGTCTGACTTATAGCAATGAATATTTACCTGATAAAGAGGTTACTGCCTGACTGGCATCGGCTGGACCGGATACAGTAGCAGATCTGCGTACTGAGCTAGAAATACTATGAGTCCCACCACTAGTGTTTGCATTATTACAGTTCGACATAGTAACATTTGTTGTCATGTAAGAGTCTCCGAATAGATTTCCTGTAGTTGTTGTAGTAACTGTATCTTTACTAGATCGACTGACTGTGGATGTATGCCGATTATTTAAACCAGTTGACTCATTAATACGGGTAGTAATTCCTTTCGTCAATGAATGCTGGGTGACTGTAGCAGCAGCTGTAGAGTTAGTGGTATTCGTGGATGTTATACCTAAACTGTTATGTGATGGTGAATTATGTTGAGTGACTGGTGAATTTCGAAAGTGCGTCCTTGATGTGTTAGGTGTATTCGATTGTGTTTCAGGTGTCTGACGTGAACGTGCTGATGGGTTGTCTGATTTCAAACTGGTAGTAGATGTGCTAGGTAGACTACGTAGTCGACCATGTACACGTGGGTCATAACGAGCTAATAATAAATAAGTAGCAGTGATGTTATTGAATCGTTGTTGCGTTAAAGAATCGTGGATATCCTCACGTTTGAAACCCATACGCATCATGATATCTGTGAGGAAATCAAAAAGATAAAAAGAGGATGAAAAAGTGGACTGATACTTTAAGAAAAATAAGCTGTGACGTAAGAAAAGACTCCTAAAAAGCGTTTCTTTCTTTCTTCTGATCATCAGTACATTTAAATATACTGATTTCTTTAGAAAAATTAAAACAACGAAGAACATGTATCCTGTAGATATATAGTGAAGTTTAATTTTAATAGAAAACCTTAAACTACTACACCAGATAGTTTAAAAAACACGTGAAAGAAACAGAAATAAGTGGGAAGCAAAGATAGTTTCTTTTTGTTTTCAGAATGCAAAAAGACAAAAGCTGTTTCCAAAACACGAATAAACACTGTGACAGAGACTAGTGTAAAGCACAAATTGCACAAAAGTGCAACAATCTAAATAACCACTTTTCCTTATAACATGTACAATAAGAAGCGAAATTGGCACAGAAGTAGGATAACATTTATGCAAAGACAAGAAAATGGGAAAACAAAAGTGATTGACAAGAGATGCAGAAATATTCAATTCAATGCAAGGAACGGATCCTGACACCAGCGAGTTGGTGTTCCTTTTGCAAACAGCTGGAAGAAACTAGCGGCCAATCACTTCACTGGGAAAAACGTTACACACACACGCATTGGTCGCTTTACCCGACCGACTAAATTCAACATAGTACTTTGCAGAGAAGTGCAGCACCGTTGCTACATTCACCTATCGATTAACTTAACTTCGCTTCATCCAACTGCACACATCAAGGTTATGCTCTAGGGGCTTCTTGTACAGTAAATCTCACATCAACCTTACAACCAAATTTCTCTGTATTTACTTTGACTTGGATTAAAGAAACTGATATGTTTGCCTTATTCCCATTAATAAGAAAAAACATCTCTCCTATTACGCTTTCTACTGAATAATAGGCATATATAAGAATATGTCTCGTTAAAAAATGAAATCAATGTAAATTATTAAAAAAGAAAGCGTAGAAAGGTTTAATGTCATATATGGGATATGACATTTAACGGTTATTGGCTATTTAACAATTCGCTGTACAATAATATTTCTTTGATAGGGCTGTGCATACCATTTTTAGGGAAAAGATCTTGTCCAACATTACTTCTTTTGATATATATATATATATATATGTATGTAATCGAAAAATTCCCAGTAGGAAAGTCTTACATAATTTCATTTCAGCTGTAATAATTGAAGTTTTCAGCTGTAGACAAAAATAAAATTTCCGTTGACTAAAGTGTGTGTATGATAAGTAAATAAGTTAAAATTTAATACAGCGATAATTAAAGCCCAGAAATGCCTGGACCATGACAACATTGTAAAAAGGTTTTCAGGCGGTCAAACCTCAATTGTTAGAACCAACTGCCAAGCAAGGATTGAGTTCATTTCTCTTACTATAAAGCACCTTAACTGATTTAAACTTTATTGATTTATTACGCTAAGGCTATTTAACTCAATTTTTTTAAAAAACAGAACATTCCAATAACCTAATTAACTGAGAGAGTTTTATACAATGATTAAATCAACAAGCCACCATCGTTGAGAATAAATATCAAGTTAACAGCATATGAAATAACCGGTTTTATCTGTTTTAAAGCAATTTTGAAAATTAGCTTAAACATCCTATATAAAGTATGAACTTCGATGGTTCAGTGGTAGAGTAACAAAAGAAGGCAAGACATGGAAGCCAAGATATATCTTTCACTAATCAAACCGTTGTTTATATATATATATATATATATAGTTTATATTCGTTAACCAATCACTGAGCGTGTGATTTTGGTTTACATCAAACGACATGAAATAGAATGTTCAAATATACATAGTATTCTGTTGCTGATGCCGTATTGAATATCTGAGAATAATATTCCGTTGGAACACATTGTGCGTATCACACCACCACAGCAGAATGCTCGCCAGATACGTGAGGTGAGAGGTCCGGTAGTTTTTCTGTCCGACACGCTCCTAAAATCTGGCCAAGCTTACCAGCCGTTACTACATCCGAGTAAGAAGGAAGATTAGGAGTGTGGATATCAATAGCACCTCGGGAAAATTACACTATCGCCACTGTTCGAAGCCCTATGTTTAACTTGGATTGCAAGGAATGAGAAAAATGTTTTTAGCATGACCAGTTTTACAATAGGTTTGTCGATGAATATGTACATCATATTATCATCATCGGAATAACACATACTCGCTAGATGGAATTTAGATAACAGCGAAGAATGCATAATGTAGCGTTAGTGTTCCGGCAAAGAAAGTTTATGCAACTAAGAGAATTTTACTGACATGTTAGATACCAGTGGTTTAGTAATACAATAAAATAGCGAATAATTGTGCCAGTTAGTGAAATCAGACTGAAAACGAGAAATCCCATAATTTTAAGATGTATAACAGAAAATTTTCTATAGTTTTGGTTTGTAAGGATTAGTTATGTTTTACGAGTTGATCACGGACTGATATCAGTTAGAGAACCATTGAAAACCAGGGAGTACTGGACAGCTGCTGTTTCATCCTAGTTTGGGAATCATCGGAAGTACGCACCCACTGGGATTCGAACCCAGGACCTTCCGGTTACAAGGCAAGCTCGTATACCATTCAGCCACTGGGACCCGATTCAATGGCTCATGAAACAGCAGCTGTCCAGTACTCCCTGGTTTTCAATGGTTCTCTAACTGATATCAGTCCGTGATCAACTCGTAAGATATAACAGAAAAGACAAACTAGATTAATTTATGAGGAATTATGTATTTTATCCTATCTATTAGAGTACAAACAAATCCTGTAGGTAAAGTTTATTTTGATAAAGTTTCATAGTCATTGCAAGGTATTTTGTAAATTATATTATTTTGTCTAACTGGGTCAACTCGGTCAAGGACAAGCTCTGTAGGTTAAAGGACCCAGCTGAAACAATTAGAAAAAATAATATAATTTACAAAATACCTTGGAATGACTGTGAGTTAGGTCAACTACATAGGTCAAACTAGTAGATCGGGGGTAGTCAGATTGTCGGAACATAAGAATTTAGCTTAGGTTAGAATAGTTGACCCCGAGAAGATAAGTAATTTAGAAAAAAGCTCAACGATTGCGCTGCATGCATTAACACACAATAGGTTGGGAGAGGGTTAAAATTCTAAGAAGTAATATAGGTAGGTGGACAGAGATTGATTACTGAATCCTTTCTCATTGAGTCTACATTCAACATGTCCAATAGGAATGATTCATCACTCATACTGGAAATATGGAAAATACTACTACCAATCAAATCAAGCGATGGAAAATAATGGAATTATATAAACGAAGTTAGAAAGTTGTGTGAGTACCTTGATATGATTATGAGCAATAAATTGTGCTCGAAACGTCATCAGTAAATATTACTGTTTAACAATGTGAGACTTTATCAAAATAAATTATACCCACAATAGAATTATACTCTGCCACAGTGCACAAGTTCTATTCTTATATCAAAATCCTGCATACTTCAGATAATTTGACGAATAAATTATAAAAAGATAGTTGCAGCGAGGAAAACTTTGTTTTAGACAAAGTCATCAACTGGACTGTACATTCGTGTATTTATAATAAATGAGTGGGAAAGTTCTAGAGTAATTTCCGGCCAAGAGTCAAATTAATAAAATTACAATTAGGAATTAAAATGCCATAATAGACAGGGAGATGGATAAAACTGCAATACACGAATGTACAGTCTAGTTGATGACTTCGTCAACAAGAAAATTTTCTTCGCTGCAACTGTCTTTTTATTATTCCTTATGATCAAATGAGAATAAATTATATTTTCCTATATGTATACATTTATCTCATGTAAAATAATCATAACATGTAGTGTTATCTGATTTATCACATCCCTGAAATAAAGGCAACATTGATCAATGAGAAACGTACAAAAACAACAACAATAGATTGTATACAATTCAGCAGAAATTACTCATTTAATCTTTATATTATTATTGTAGCACTTCTTTTTCCTCTCCCTACAATCTACATCTGTATCTACCTCTCAATGAAGACAAGGTTTATATGAGAAAAGGGGGATAACAAGTTGCGACATATTTTCTGTTATTTTCTAAAACAGTGAATATACGATGTGTTATTAGTTTTAACAATTTTATTGAAAATTATAGCAACAACAAGCCTAAATAACGGCATTCCAGTCATAAACTGTTAAAGTAATTTGTAAATGACCAATAATGTCCAGCTAGTAGTAGGGTGAAGTCTTGAAGTACCAATATGTATATAAAGCATCAGTGATGAATGAAACATATATTGCTCGTTTGATAACAATGTAATGGGGATCAAATAAGTTCATTCGGTTTAAAACATAGTGACACTCACCAATACGTTCTGGATCACAATAATCGGCAGGTTCTTCAGTATGAGGTTTCAATACACTGTGTTCATAGCCTTGATTTATCCAAGGATCATTCATCACCTCCTGAAAGCAAGCATAGCAGTTAGTAATACAAAAGTGTTGCAACACTGAATCCTTAGGTAAATCTAAAATGTAGAATGAAAGTTATTGATTGAAATACTAAAGTCATTAACTCAGCTATGATGACATCAGCACAATAATTAAAGCATCAGGTAGTAGTGTTATTTTATTTCGCTCTTTTCTTCAACTGAATAGTACACAATAACGTATCACTTAAACATTAGCCAACCAGTTAAGTGCACTGGAGGATGTGTAGTATAATACCCACAGAGTAATGGTCCAAACCATACAACTAGGGTCAGACTAATGCCTGAAAACACCAAAGGACCACTTTTACGAAACTATTGATGAATTATGAATGTATCGCCACGAGGTAATTACGAATTATTGTTAAAGAATGTTTCATTGAAAGAATAGATTTTGTTAGGAATCAACATCAAGTAAAGAACCACCAGTATCTAATCGAGTATTAGAAATCAATTTCAACCTAATCAAGCAGTCAACATACACACACGATAATGAGCACCTCATTACTCAACCTATGAATTAGAATCTATTAATCCTAAAATTCCTACTTATGTGAAATAGTGTAATTGTAGATATGAATTTCAATGATATTTGACAGGCGATGAAAACCTTCCTTTATGTTAACAATAATTCGGGCTTTCATTATTATGGTTTTAGTGATAAAGCAACCCGTTTTTCAAATTATCAAAGATACTCTATTCAACTTGGAATATAACTTCATACTTTCATGGTATTAAGAGCAATGATGTATGAAAGACCAGACCGATAGCTGCTACCTTGACGTGGTGGTCGGGCTTGCATATCGCAATGACCCAACGAGCTACACTGGCTGGAACTTATGTTCCTGTAGGTCATACCATGCCAGAAAGGTTGTTTGGATAGCGGTTAGACAAAAAGCAGCAACCCAATCCAATACTATGATTCAAACTAACTCATAAAATATCATGCCGGATCGGTCGGGGCCCGGATTAACAACGACCGCGCTTCCTGCTGCTGTGTCACAGGGCAGAAGTGATAAAAATGCTACTGAGACACACCGAACAAGAAAGAACAAACAAAAACAGGCCGCGAGTGACCGGCCTCAAGCAGTTGTCCCCTGGGCTCTGCGGTCACGCAACACTAACCTTTTCTCTCTCCCCTTCTCAGGCATGAGGATAGCAACCCCACTCTGTAAACTAAGCTGCTACAGAAAGTACAGCACGACGAATCTCCTTGAGCCAAAAGAAAAAGTCTGTGTGGGGACATGGAATGTCCGCACCATGTACGAGATCGCAAACGAAATGAAAAGATACGGAATTCAAGTACTGGGGATATGTGAAAGCAGATGGAACGGGAATGGACTCACCAAATTGTCAACGGGTGAGTCAGTGATCTACTCCGGTCACCCAGAGGATAACCACATACACACCGAGGGCGTGGCTATCATGATGTCACCAACGGCAACGAACGCCCTGATGCAATGGGAGGCGACCTCGCCCAGGATAATGACCGCCAGATTCGATTCCAAAGGAAGGAAAGTGTCAATTATACAATGCTATGCACCGACAAACAACGCAGACCTCGAAAAGAAAGAAGAATTCTACAGACAACTACAGGCAACAATGGACAATACTCCAGCTGGTGACATTAAAATACTAATGGGAGACATGAACTCCAAACTGGAATCAGACAACACAGGAAGGGAACTCATCATGGGTAGAGAAGCTCTCGGAGAAATGAATGAAAACGGAGAACTCTTCGCCGACTTCTGCGCCTTCAATGAACTAGTGATTGGTGGCAGCGTATAAAAACACAAGGATATCCCCAAGGCTACATGGGTGTCACCAGATGGGCGAACCAAAAACCAAATCGACTTCATCTCAATACCGCTCAAAGGAGTGGAGACGCAGCTTACTGGACACAAAAGTAAGAAGAGCAGACGTTGGCTCAGACCACTACCTCGTACAAGGGACAATCCAAATCAAATGAAGAGCTTTCAAAGAAACAGGAGCTGCACATAGACCACAAGCCAAGTTTCATACTCAAAAGCTGAAGGACCAGGATACAAAGGACATCTTCACTGCAATCATAAGAAAAAAAGCCGAGACACAAATCAGCACTAGCGAAGAGTTCAGCTTTGAGAAGCACTGGGACAACCTGAAAGCGGTGTGGAGTCAAACCTACATGGAAGTTCTAGGCAGAAAGAAGAGATAGGACAAACGGTGGCTCACTACGGACACATGGAGAGCAATAGAAGAGAGAGGGGTGGTGAAACAAAAGATTATCCAGTGCATCGACGAGCAACAAAAACAGGAGTTAAATGGATGCAACAATACACTGAATAAAAGAGTGAAGAAAGGTGCCAGGGAAGACAAAAGACGATACTATGAAGCTACGGCAAGTGAAGCAGAACAAGCTGCAGGCAAAGGAGACCTCGCAACACTCTACCGAACAACTAGGTTCCTATCAGGGAAAAGATCAACACAAATTAAGACGGTGAAGGATGACAATCGAAAGTCACTCACCAAAGAAGTGGAGCAAAGGAAACACTGGGCTGAACACTTCAAAAGACTCCTAAATCGACCACCACCGACAACGCGCACAACAATAACAACAACGGAGACAGAACTACCAGTGAACACCAACCCCCCGACGAAATCAGAAGTCCTGAAGGCAATCAAGCTGCTAAAAGCTGGAAAAGCAGCAGGACCAGATGGAATCCCAGCAGAAGCATTGAAAGTGGACCCAGAGACAACAGCGGACTTGATGACGCCCCTACTGGAGAAGGTGTGGAAAGAGGGCAAGCTACCCGAGGATTGGAAGAAAGGATACTTATTCAAACTGCCAAAGAAAAGAGACCTAAGTCAATGCAAGAACTGGCGCAATATTATGCTCCTGTCCATCCCAAGCAAAATACTAAGCTGCATCAACCTGGAGCGAATCAAACAAGCCTTGCATTAAAAACTTCGACCGGAACAGGATGGATTCAGGAGAAACAAGTCATGTATTGATTAGATCGTCACATTACGGATCATCATTGAACAAAGCTTGGAATGGCAGTCACCTCTCTATCTCAACTCCATCGACTTTGAAAATGCATTCGACAGCGTCGATCGAGAGGTGGTTTGGCAACTACTACTTCGCTACTATGGGGTGCCACCGACAATTATACATCTCATCCAACAGCTGTACGACAATGCTGCATGACAAGTAATCCAAAACGGGAAACTTGCGGAATCCTTCGAAGTGAGAACAGGAGTAAGACAAGGCTGCCTACTATCCCCAATGATTTTCCTGATTGCAGTAGACTGGATAATGCGACAAACAGCGGGCAATGAGGAAACAGGCATAAAATGGACTCACAGAAAATTTGGAAGATCTGGACTTCGCCGATGATATATGTCTGATTTCCCACAAACTGGAAGATATGCAAGCGAAGAGCAACAAGTTAGCAGAAGAAGCATCAAAGATAGGACTTCAAGTGAACACAGAGAAAACAGAGGTGATGAAGATTCCTGGACAAGAACAACAACAACAGACAACGGTCAGCATAAATGGGAGGAACCTGAAAGAAACAACCTCTTTCACCTACCTGGGAAGCATCGTTTCAACTACAGGCGGATGGAACTGACGAGGATATCAAAGCAAGAATCGGAAAAGCAAGACAAGCTTTCACTACTCTCAAGTCTGTGTGGAGGTCAACAGCACTCAGCATGGAAAACAAGATCCGGATTTTCAACTCCACTGTGAAGTCAGTGCTACTATACTGATCAGAGACTTGGCGCGTCACGAAGGGCACTTCGAACAAACTACAGACCTTCATTAACAGTTGTCTTCGCTCAATACTCAAGATTAGATGGCCCGTCAGAAAAGATCAGCAACAGAGATCTTTGGGAGCGAACCAACCAGGAAAGGATTGTGAAACAAATAGGGAGGAAGAAATGGAGATGGATTGGCCATACTCTGAGGAAACCATCAAGTGACATCACTAGACAAGCCCTCGAGTGGAAACCGAAAGGGAAGTGGCGAGTTGGTCGTCCAAGGGTGACTTGGAGGGGATCATGTGAAGAGGAGATGAAAGCATTTGGGCTGACTTGGAGCCAGGTGGAGACTCTAGCAGAGAACGGAACGCAATGGAGACGCACAGCTGAAGCCCTATGTTCCTCTAGGAATTAAAGGAAACAATAATGATAATAATGTAAGAAAGATCTGCAAGTATACACTAATACATTAGTATTACTATGAATAAGAAGAGATATTCTCTCCTACTTTTACTATTAAACAGCTAAATCTGACAAAGTGAGCTTAATTGTGAACTAAATATTCAAAACGGTTTCATTTCATGCTAACCGACTTTGCACAAGTACATTATTAGTTACAGTGACCTTATACTTCCAGCACAAATCAGTGTGTTTTATTAACACTTTATATCAGACTATTTTGAAATACCTGAAAATATGTTATTCGCTATACAAAGGAAACTATAAGAGTAATAACAAGAAATATTTTTTTAAACGATTCACCAGCGATTTCTCTACTAATTTCATTAAATTTCGAGAAAACAGAACTTCCTATGAAAACGCTCATCGAAAAGTTCCAAGATGGCTGCAGCTCTTACATTCTAAATCGCATACAATTATTTGATTTCAGGTAATTCTTGTATTTCCCGTTGATTATTTATGTTGGGCTGAAATGCCAGGACCCTGTTGATCCATCGACTCATAGTATAGAAGCTTTTAGGATGTCTAAAGATAAACGTGCAGTTATTTCGGTTGCTGGTGCTCAACAATGGTATCCAGGATGGGCATTTCATTCCACTTGGGACTCGTCAGCTAGGAGTAGTTGTATACGCAGTGAGTGATTGTGTTCCCACTGTGACTCGAGCCTTGCATCCATCATTTCAAACGTCGAAGCACTATCTTTTATACCACGACACACAGTTCTTGTGCAACTGGTATAAGTTATTATTCATCTTAAGACTAATTTTGTATTTCCCGTTGATTGATTATGTTTGACCCGAAGATTAAGAGGCGGCGCTTATGGATAATTGTTCAGCGTCTGAAGTGATGGGTATATGGTTCAGTGGGAACACCATCCCTCTATGGGAATGCAGGTTCATCCAGTGAACGAGTTTTAAATAAGACGAAATGCGCATCCAGGATTCCACTCCTAGTCATCACCAACCAAAACAATACCATATAGGTTGACCGTCAATCATCTTCATCGGAATAATAATAAGAATCTGGATTTCAACCTGATATTGAAAGTTCAACTCATACAAATAGCCGAATAAGCATAATTATATAGATTATTTAGTGGCAAAAAGCATTTTCTATCATCTAGTTTTTAATTGGGTAAAGAAGTATCCAACAAATGGAACAATATCAAGTCGCTCATGGAAAGCACTACTAAGGGAGAGTTACTTTTTTATTCCTTTACAATCGCAATGGAACATAGGGCTTCAAGCTACAGCTTTGAAGTTTACGTAGCAGTTGTATTCATTTTTACAGCATGGAGTTACTAGCTGCACGCCCAACCTTTCCTGTTTATCAGTCTTATTGCTGGCTTACAGAGGTAAAGGATTCTGTCAGCGGGGTATCGGACACCGAACCAACATGAGTGGTTGGCGGGCATTCTACCGCTGTGCTACCGATGCAGCTAAGCCAGAGTAGAGATGAATAATCACTTCCTGTTGAGTTAGTTGTGCTGGTGTATTTAATTGCGAAGCTTTAATTGCATAGAAGGACAGATAACACAACTAATTCAATATCATTCACCTGATCTACAAATCTCCATTATTTCAGAATTTTCCTATCTCACTACCAAACTTGATAAATTCTGTTGATGTTTACCAGTTCACCTGCCATTTTATTGGCAGACCTGCATTAGTAGATAGATAATAGTAAGGCGACAGTAGACGTCTGCAAATATAACTGTATACTTCTTCATTAATATCGGTTATTCAGTTTCGTAGAAAGTTAATTATATTCATCATTAAAAAGTGTATATATGAGAATTTATTCCACTCAGTAGGTGTGTTATTAGTGGTTGAATTATTTATGTCGATAAACAGCTGTAATTCACCCTATCGAGTTTTGAATACAAACAACTAATTGGTTTAAATTTTCTCACTCTCATGACTCAAAAAGGGTAGTTATTTTTTCTTGCTTTGAAGAGGTTCTTAGCAGTGAAATTTTTTTCTACATCCTAATCAACTTCGTTGTTTTTAATACTACCAAGTTGCGTCGGTGGCACAGCAGTAGAGTGCATGCCGATCCCGCAGGTGGTCCGGGGTTCGATCCCCGGCAGACGCACTCCTTTACCTCGTTAAGCCAGTAATAAAACTGATAGAGAGGAAAGGTTGGGCTGGACATGAGGCTAGCAACCCAATCCTGTAAAAGTAATCACCACTGCTACAGAAACTTCAGGACTCTAGCTTGTTACACTGTAAAAGTAAAGGAATAAAAAAAGCAATTTACACATTGCTTTTTCTCCTTTATTTCAGTTTTGTTGCTTTGGTCAAACTGTAGAGATGATGACCGATAAGACCCTTAAATGCAGAAATGAAGATAAGTTTTTAACTTTCCAATTTGAATTCTCTGTGACCTTTAATGAGACGCATGTACTTACAACTTTTTCTCTAAGTTTCTCAATTAGAAAACAAACATGAATATTTGGCTATTTACAATAATTACTGAAGCACCTATTCACATAATTGTTAGTTGACAGCAATTTACGTAATATCAACCATCCAAGAATTGAAAAAAAAAATATTTTTTGTGTCAAGGAATTATATACAAGGTAATTCTACTTTCATCAATTAATGTATGGATAAGTTGCATCAAAGAGTCCTTTAGTTGGTTATTATTCATTGGTTTCATCATGCCACCGTCTAACTCGACATAAAAGTAACTATAATGCTGTATGCTAATACATTTAAAAATAACATGACGGAGTATAAGAAAATGAGATGAAGAAACATTCGATAATTAAATATTTACTAGCAAAACTATAATTTAATTGCGACCTTCTCCTCAAAAAATGCATGCATTACACAGTACATATAGAAGCTTTTCGGCACAATGAATATTTTTCGCCTGTAATTTTGAATCATAGTTCATTAGGTCATTTACTTGGTTATTTATAATCATATATTTATGCTAATTTATGAAAATGAGTAGAACATATATATATTCTAAAATAATGTCATAAAAGAAATACAATAAACACTGATATCAATCATTACCTGCAATGTGATACGCTTAGCTGGATTAAGCACCAACATTTTCTTCAGTAACATTTCACATTCATGTGTCATATAGTAAGGCACTCTGTACGTGCCGCGTAGAACACGTTCACGTAATTCCTTTATGTTTTTTGATTCAAAAAAAATGAAGCATTGTCATTAGCACTATTATTATTACTGTTATTGAATGGTATTGATAAAAAAAGGAAGAGAACACAGTAACTCATACGACTCTATTGATTACGCTTCATTTACATACAAAAAGAAACAAATTCCGTAATAATATACGCATACATATATTTTAAAACACAACTAGATGCTTTAAAATTTCGACAGATTCCCTTAGTTTTCAAAATAGTGATAATCTACTTGAGTAGTTGGATCAAAATATATTTTGAAAGTAAGTGACATGTAACACAAAAAGGCATTTATACTAATAAAAATAAATTTAAATGTCGAGTTGAGTAAAATATTATGTCATACACTAACATTCTCATTTTATATCATTCTGACTTCTTTTTCTATTAAGGAACTTACTGTCTGGTCATTGGTCGATTGCATTAGCAGGTAAGCACACACATAATCGCATTCAACGAAATACTCTCTTTGCTCACACACAGAGTTCCGTGCTTTACACAACTGTTTCTGTTTGGATTGTGACTACTTGCATAGTGAAATATCAGTAATTTGATAACTAGCATTTAGATAGGCTAGATAAATATGCAACAATGTCAGGACTAAAGTGGAACCGACCTCTTTAAGCGGTGTGCCTCTAAATGACTTCTAGCTAATATAAGTGATAAATTAGCACGTTAAATGCACCAATCATCAAGAATCACTCTTTCAGGTAACAGCACTAATAATTTTTAAGTAGTTGCAATCATAGTAATTGATATCAAGCAGTTTACTGAGTCAATTCAATTCCGAGCCTGGAAACAGACAAAAACACATGAAAATGAAATATGTTAGATAAATTCGAAAGTATGTGATTTTCTACGTAATTGTCAAGTCATATATGTACGTCAGCATCTACTGAACAAGTGTGTGATGAAGATGCTATGAGAAATAACTACTGACTAACCGACAGATCGACACATTCGATTCATCAATTAAAGCTTACATGCATCAAAACAAGTAACAAATAGGAGGATAAATGAAGCAGAATAAAATGGCAACAGACAAATATTATTGAGTCATAAAACAACAATCACATGAGAATCTGGAGAAACGTTCAGCATTTAGAACACAATAAGGCAATTATTTTCACACATAGACTGTTGTTTTAGTAAAGTGATATTATACAGTTGTTCACTGCAAAAGGTACTCATCCAGGGATTTAATCAACAAAGGGCTGTGTTTGACTTAGGTTTCATGACTAGATGGATGGCCTGAACATCTACAGATGGCTTCTGTTGTCTGAGTGAGTCCATGTTAAAATAAATGACTTCAATACTAAGCTATGTAAAGTAATTAGACAAGAGAATCCCGTGTTTCGCCAGAATTTTCATGGTTAGGAGCAATAATAAATTTTTAGAAAAAACTACAAAATTATTTCATTATTGTGTAGTATTGTTATGAAATCAGGCTTATTAGAAACTTCTATGCAAACCAAAAGTGATTTATTACTACTGCACTTTCTCTAATATATATATATATATATATATATATGACGAGTACAAATGGGCATATTTCTAGGTTATTCAAATATATTGGGATTTGATCGTGTCTAAATTCCAGTTCACAAATAATCTTAATTATTTGAATAGTTTAACAATACACGGGATATTTTTTCAAACCTGATAATGTAATTTTCATTATAAAAGCATTAAGTGTAATCTGTTTTGTTTTTGGTTAGCTAATTAAATACAGTAAAACAGTTATGTGTACATACGTACATTCAGTTAGCATCTACGATACTTTATTAACTAACAGATAATCGAATAGATTTTCATGTTTGAAGGAAATCCACATGAAGCCGACAGCAACACGTATCTGTTACGACGAAGGAACTGATGCCTACTAAGACTCAAACGCGTATCACCTAATCTCGCATTTAATGTTTACGTTGGAGAGATAGATATTCTATATGACTGATTATCAAGGAAAAAACTAATGTCATGTCGCTTAGCTTTAATCCTGATCAAATTTTAACGATCGAATCTGTAGTGTGATCACTAAGTTGAAAACAGACTAATGAACAGGGTATCTTCAGGAATCACATATTTCAGTGAATTGAAAATTGCCACAAAAGCATTTCTAACGATGGATCGATTACACAAAGACGAACCAATTCCTTTTTGTTTAATCTTTTCATAGTTTAAGTTTTCGAAAATTATCATAGGGATACTAATTGAACGATAGTGGGTTGGTCAGCAGTAATTTCGAAAAAAAATTAACCAAGTCACTAAGATAATAAGTTTGAGAAATCAACAGAATAATTATATAGAATTTTAAAAATATTGTAAATAGAGAAAATCTTTTATTGGGAAAATTGTTAAAATAAAGTACTTTTTACAAGTCGTCAATTGCAACAACGTATAAAAACCAAGACAGAAAATTAAAGAGACTGAATTATATTAACGGAAAATACGGAGAGACTGTGTCTGTGATTACTTTTATCTACACATTTGAAGTAATAAACATTTCGATAATCATAGGAATAGGAAAAATTTATACAAAATAGCTAGGTTAGGTTGATACTGGTGGATAGCAATCGGTACTGCTGCGCACAATAAATGAATGCATAATCTAATGTGTTAGATTAGTCTCCATGTGACGGCCTGCGTCCATCAAGTGTCTGTGTATATACGGAACTATTTATTGCCACAATATATCCCTTGTCCAAGGATTTTCTGAGAGTTGCATAAAAATTAGCGAATGGAACCATACCATTGTATACCCTGAGTAACTAACTCCTCACGAGCAGTTAAACCTATGTGTATAAAATGAGTCTTATAAGTCTAAAATCCTTATTAGTTATACATTTAATCATGTTGAGAGTGCATGTAACATCTAAGAAAGTGTTTGCTTACAAAAATAACAGAAGGCGGTACTTTAACCGACTTCAGTTTGTGATAAATTCTACCGTAACATATATATATATTCCAAGAGTTGACTTGTAAGGATTAGATTTATTTTTCGAGTTTGACCACGGATTGATATCATTTAAAATACTATTGAAAACCAGGGGTACTGGACAGCTGTTTCATCCTAGTTTGGGAATCATTGGCAGTAAGCACCCACTGGGTTTCAAATCCAGGACCTTCCGGTTACAAGGCAAGGTCATATACCACTTAGCCACTGGGACACTGTTCAATGGCCCATGAATTCTAACTTCTACCAATTCGTGATTTAGCGCGACCACTACCCAATGTCATGTGAGGGAAATCTATCATCACACTTGAATTGATGGACCTCACTGATCACGACTTCTCACTAGAACTCCAGGAAACTCCGCGCTGTAACAAGTCACAGGCATGCATCAGATTAATTTTCAAGAGTTGATTTGTAAGGATAAGGTTTGTTTCTCGAGTTTGACCACGGACTGACATATATATATTTTCTATAAGTGAGAACATATTATCATTGAATATCAATAACTACACATTTTGAAAGAAAATAATGATAAAGCAGTGTTGTTTCAATACGCTACGTACAATTATAATTCTTAATGGTTTTATTTCAACCAATATTTTTGATGGTTCAGTATGGAAATCGCAGTATATGATGCTAAAATGCAACTAATGTTCTGTTTGTATCATATAATTTTGGGGGGAAAACTATAGAATTTCATGATGCTCACAATAATAATAATAAATGAACTGTTAAAATAGTAGAAAACAATGACTCAACGAAAGATTTTGTCCAATCATTGCACTTCTGCAGAAATTGAATATACCTGTTCAATTAGAAAGATGTTTATCCCTATTTCCATCAATAAATGATGAATGTTTAGCAAGAATTTTTACAGATTTACATCAACATTATCGAAATAAACAACAAAACAGTGGAAAATAATGACCTCAAATCCTCTTTCTTTTACATAACCTTGAAGGAAATGTTATCATGCATTTCACTGTATGAAGATTGCAGTATCTTGGAGCACATACAAACACGTACGCACACACAGGCACACACTGAAGACGATATTCCATCTAAATGAACTTTATCATACGTTACTGCTATTAATACTAGTGTTTATAACACTCTAATAGTCAGTGTTTACAAAATTTGTCAATAGTAGGTTAGTTAATGCATAGGGAAAGAAAAGAACTTTTTTGCTACAACAGTTACCAAATAACATACATAAAATATTAATTCAAAATGGTAAACATTACATAGTTTAAAAGAAAAACACCAAGACAAGATGAACACTTAAAGGTTGCCTTGTTTTGGTATTCTTACCACTGATTCAAATATTTCACAATTCCACATTGGAATATTTGGAGATAGGATCGATGAGATGGTGAAACTACATCATTCTCCAAAAAAAAAACAACTAAGTGAGACAACTTTTCTGCATGAATACAGACAGACATATTCAACAAAACAAGTCCTAGCAATACTGAGGAGTGGTTCAAGTTGTCACACCTCATTATCTGTATATGAATTAGGCCATAATAGGAGGGGAGGCAAAGAAATGCAAATAATTTAATCTAAACTGCAGAAAAAAAACAGTTAAGAAGCTACATTGTACTGATAAAAAATTCTTCACCACATATTCCGCATAAATTTAGAGGATTTCGCTGATAAACGCACTGATGCAATTTGCATTTTGAAAAAATGAAAAAAAAACTATCCAGAACAATGATGGTGACGATTTGATGCCGATTATTTGGTTATGAAGTATCAGTTATTTCGTATAACGAATGAGCGATTGACGATAAAAAGATTTTAATTCTCAATCGGAATTGACTAATTGATTAAGTTAGATATCATCACAAATCAACGACAGTTAGAAAACAATTGAATACTAAAGGAATACTGGAAAATTACTTCACACTAGTTTGAAACTTCAACAGTAAGTATCCATGACCCCACCACATATCTAACTCAGAACCTTCAGGTTACCACGGAAACCGGATTCAGTCGTCCATGAATTCCAACTTGGACTGGTGTCA